ATTATGCTAATATTTTCGTGAAATTATGCTTTTCGCATTGCTGAAAAAATTGCAGAATTATGCTATTTTTATGCTAAAAGTTATCATATTACGCCGCATTAAGCGGGATTCACAGAAGCTTTTTTGCGATGCGACACGCGATGCGACGCGATCTGCGACGGACGCGTGCGATGCGAACTCGCGAAATACCATTCACAGAAGAAGTCAGTGATGCGACAAAATCTTGCTGATTTGGCTACGTCACCATGATATTCGCGCAGTTTGATACAACTAATTACTTGTACAAATTTTAATTTTCGGCAATCACATTTCGTTAATTTCTTACTTTTTAGACGGAGTCCCAGCCAGTTTGGAAGCAATTTTATAAATTTTCTATAGCCTATGCCGGACCCAGGACTAGAACACAATAACTTTTTTTAGAAAGCTGCCATAAAGCAGTTTTTATTGCTATAATGTTCGTTAATGTATAATGGTTCTGTGCAAAAGCACCGTCCGACCTAGCTACGACCGTCACTGATTGTAGTGGACTGGACATGTTATCAAGGGAGTCGTAAACTTCTTGGTGCATCTGTCTTGGCTACATAGGTTCTGATCGGTGGAATATGCTGCCTGGAATATGCTGCCTTCCACTGTTCGCTCTTGTACAGATCAGGGAGTAGTACAATACCGGGAGGTGACACGGGCACACATTCAGGCGCGCGGGCGAGCTTTGCCTCAGGTCACTTTTCTGTGGAGCGCGCTGTGTCCCGGGAAACGTCACGAACTGTCGTACTTCGCGTACCATTTATCGTAGCATTTCGTAGCATTTTTCAAAAAAATTCATAGAACGACTTGAAGAGAGTGGCAGAATGCTGTCAAGAAGTTTTCGAGCAGTACTTTTTGAAGTTTGTTTTGATGATGTAGGGAACGAATCCATCAGTCTTTGCTGAGTGATGAGGATGAATCCTACGAAGGATATCAAGTAGCAGCTGGCCTTCGCACGGGTACCTTCAGTGTGTCCAGTATTTACGTGGGCGGCTTGTAAGAGTGAAATTTTCTTCCTATTTTAATCGTATTACATTTAGTTATTCACGTCGTTTCTAGGGGAATAGATAATGTTGACTCAAGTTTTAGTCACAATGAACAACATGTTTCAGGTATGACTGACCCGCTTCAAGATAGTAAGGCTATTCCGAATGCAGATGCTATAGTCGTCAGAGAGAAACACAAAATAAAATAAATTTTATACTGCAGGGGCAGCTATTCGCAAATGTCACTATGACGCAAGTCTGTGTCAAGCAGGGAGTAGCACAATGGTACAATGGCACTGTGCTACTCCCTGCTACAAAGCCTGAGATGTTACGCGTTAACAGGAACTGGTGTGGATGATAAAGGCAGTGTGGAATTATGTACAATGTTACTGGTGCAAGTGACCATGCCGTGTAAGTCATGTATGCAGGTACAGTAATCAGACCAAGCGCAAAAGGATAACGATAGCCTGCTTACATACTTTTCCTAGTACGTGTGCTTATTATAGATACTTTGTGTGACTACTAGTTGTATGTGTCTGCATATTACTATACGTATTAGACTACGTAATTGCTTTTACTACAATTTGTACTTTGTGGGGAGCTGCGTGACGATGAACTAGATATCAGGGAGTAGTGCAATACCGGTATTGTACTACTCCCTGCTATATATGGCCACCAAGAGCATACGCAATCAGAATCGTACAATGCCATTACTCCTTGATTACTTCACCATGTTACTTTCATGGCACCGTGGAATCATGTCAAACACAAAAGGATACAGACGAATAGTTGTATGTATGCGCACGTGCGCGTGCGTGTGTGGTGTACAAGTACACGAGGGTGTGTGTAGGTGTGTGGGTGTATATTTGCCAGTAACAAAAGGTTTTGGTGCCACAACATCACCATAGTCATTCTTGTTTTCCAGAACCTGTCCAAGAAGTTTGTCTGTGCAATGGAGACAACAAATGTTTTAGTTTTTCCTAGTGACGAGGAGGAATCAGACGAGGTATGCCAAGTAGCCATTGTACCTCAGCCGGATACCTTCAGTGTGTCCAGTATTTTGACATGGGCAGCAGGTAAGAGTGTGTCTTCAACAGAGTATAGTTTGTTGACTTTCAGTCATTCACATTCTCATTTCTCTTTGGGTTACATCTCACCAGATCTGTGCAAGGACTCGGACATGCAACGCTACTGCCAACATGAGGTGGCAGTAGCTCAGCAACTCTGCTCACTGGACAAGCACCCTGCAAATGTGGAGCTGTTCATAGTTCACTTTCGGCAGGCAATATTAAATAAGTTGTGAGCAGCAGCAGACGTTGTTTTTCAAGAACAAGGCCTTAGGAAAATTAAGGAGAGGAGAGTGCACGAATGTCTCAAATGTGTGGACTGATTTACTTCGCAATTCGTCAACCATTTTCCAAGAGCTAGACACCAGTTCTGCAAGTACAGGTAATGTCATCATCATACTGGTCATTTTCTGTTCCTATTGCGCTGTAGAGATTTATTGTACCAAATTGTACTTTGAAGTTTTTTTTTCATAGACAGTGCGTGTTTGTGTGTGTGTGTGTGTGTGTGTGTGTGTGTGTGTGTGTGTGTGTGTGTGTGTGTGTGTGTGTGCGTGGATTGGTGTTTTGTACAGGTGTCAGAGTGTCCGGTGCACTATTTGCCCTTCTTCTTGATTTCACTATGAATAGGAAGCCTGCGTCAGCAGCCACAGCTCCGAGCAACCCTATGCACATGGAGGTTGCTCGCCGCACCATGGATCAAACGGCTAACTCGGTTGTGAAGTACCACGGGGGGGTGGTGCATAGTTGCAGTGCTTTGCTATTGCTCAACACGCTAGGACTGCATAAGTACACACCAACATCCCAAAAACACAATGCATTGAAACCACTTGAAACCACTCCTGCTATATAATTTGTTTACTTTTTGGGTGAGGAGCAATTGGCGTTGGGCAGGCAGACTTCGCAGCCGCACCCAAGTCGTCGCTCTTCCTCTTCTGTCCACGGGTTCTGGGGGTTAAAAAAGCAACAAAGCAAGCAGGCCTGGCCTCATTCAGTGCTGAAAACAAGTGATCTTGAACATTATGTTCAAGTCTATACAAATAAATACGTTTCAAAATTTTCGGAATGAGTTTTCCAAAGAGTTACATTAGCTAACACGTTGAGATGAAGTAGAATGGTAGACAAATAGGTATAGTTTCGAAATATCCCAACTTGGTGAGGTGTCCGAGTGGGTCCAAATGAGAAATTCAGGTTCGTGTTACACCATGTCAAGATGAGAAAATTCCATCACGTTACTTACCTAGGATAGCGTCCTCCATATTCGTCACTTCCATCCATTTTGGGAAGTCGAGACTTGGCAGCAGTGTGGACGATGTACCAGAGTAGCTCCCAAAAAAGGCTCCAGCTGAAAAGAACAAGTGGCAGCTTGTCACGAAGGGATACGTCTGGTCTTCTCGTCACTATTTGAAGGTTTCTCAGCGCTGTCAAAAGAGCACAAATTTGAATTTTCGCGCGGTTTGTATTTTTTTGTGAGGCAAAGCTCGTAATCCCGGATGTGTGCCCGTGTCACCTCCCGGTATTGTACTACTCCCTGGTACAGATTATCGCCCATTTGTTCGTTCATGCTTAACCTTTCTAGGGGCTCCCGTAAGAAGACCATACATGTAGGTCTGTGGGAAACACCCTAGTAAAATAAATAAAATAATAATAATCTACTTGTACTTGTACTTGTAGAACATGTACAACTTTACGGAATTTGATGCAAACAGGCGGATTATTCCAAATTTATGCGATTCGTATGCAATTTGCCTCGAATTATGCGATTATTCGATTATGTTAGGAATTATGCGAACAATTATGCTAGCATAATCTGTCAAGGCCTAGACGGTGCACATGTAGACGGAGAAAGAAGAAGAAAGAAGATGAAAGAAGAAAGAAGAAACCATAAGAGAAGCAAGATAGTACAGTCGTCCCTCTCTAATCCGGCACTTGTTAATCCGGAACCCTTGCCAACCGGCGCACTTTCTGATGAAACCGATTTTTTTCGTTCAATTCCTACATCGTAATCCGGCACTTGAATTCCGCCTCCGGCAGTGACTTTTTGAAACGAATCGCTCAAACTGCACGTAGTTTGATTTCATAATCCGGCAGTCGTAAATCGCGTTCAGTTATCGATCGAATTCAGTTGACAACTGTACTCGACCTCGCGCGGGAGAGTTCAGTTCGGTTGGTTGTTAGGACTTTTCCGAACCCGAACTCAATTTATACAAAGAGAAAGACCAAGGAACTACAAGTTACGCTATACTGTCTACTAACACCACCAGTTACAAAACAATCAGCGACGATGCACGACACTGACCGACGGTACTGACGTTCTACAACTACCTGGCTAACAGCTCTAGCACATCTTGGATGCGCACTCCAACAGCCTTCCAACTCTGGCACAAGCATCCCGCGCACTTGCTGATGCAATTGTTTGCTTCGAAGGACATCCGTCGTTCGACCTGCATGATGTCGACTGCTTGCGTGGCCTTCTCAAGAGGGTCAATGTTGTCCAGGAGACAACTGCTAAGCAGTCAACCATACTTTCTTATTTTAGCAAGGAGTAGTGTCTTGCCAATTTTCAGGCCTGTGTGTGTGTGTGCGTGTGTGTGCAAGAGTACATGTGAACATGTTCTCTGTTTTACTTTATCACTTCGTCACTGTGTATATTCCTGGAGAACAGTTGAAAATATAAAGTTGTGCATCAAATACTTGGATCGACACGGAAAAACCCTGCGTTTTGACGTATGACACATGCATGCAATTGGGTAGGGCCGGGTCAGAGGGCAGGATTTCTTAATCCAGCACCCTCGTTAATCCAGCAGAAAACGCCGTAGCAAAAGGTGCCGGATTAGAGAGGGACGACTGTATATACAAGAGAGATAATGATGATAAGAGAGGGAAAGAAAATGTTCCTCTACGGGTAGTCCTGAAATGAAGATTATTATGACGTACGTACGTTCCTCCCTCTATCAGAGTACCTATCTGGATCCTCAGTGAGCCACATGTCAACAGAAATTAATGTATAAGTTGGCTGCACATTACGCTTCAGCACTCGGTACTTAACTGTTGTCAGTCCCTCGGAAACAAAATTTCTGTACAAGGATAGTAATTCAAAGCGGTTGGTGGATTTCGCTTTGGACTTAATATTTCCCTTCTTCATGGCCACATAGCGACCAAGTGTCCGGTTGCGGCGCACAAAATCCGTCCCTATAGCTACAAGTCTCAGCTTTAGATCATTGTCCTCACCACCCCAGCCATAGAAACGGTTGTTGAAGCCATTGGCCTGGCGATATACGTCCGACTGCAGCAGGTTCACACCACCGTCTGCAGCTTCGGGCAAGTCCCAGTCGTACACATCAATGGCGGAGCTCAGCTGCCACACCTTCCGCACCGGCGGTTCCTTGCAGTCATACGTGTTGTTCAGTTCCTGTGGGATAAGGTCAATGTCATGTATGCTCATGCAGTCAAACTTGTCCTCCCGATCTCGTCCAGAGTTAGCTTCAATGAAGCCAATGTTCAGCAACGCTCCACGGTTAAAATTGGCCTTTCCAAGCTGTTCAATTACTAACACTTTGAACTGAATATTCTGCCTGGACAGAAACTTGTGAATTAGGGGAGGAAACTGCTGCAGCTGTTCAAGGCGGTTTCGAAACGGCACCACAATGGCCACACGGGTCTGCTTCTTTGCTGAGCTGGGTTCCTGCGTATTGTGTCCAGCGGTGGGTGTTTCTATGCTCAGTTTCTTACTGGTATTGGGCTTAGGAGTGGTCGTTGACGCCCTCACAGCAGCACTGCTTAGTTTATCACTATTGTTGCTGCTAGCTCTTTCGAAATGAGCCATATAGATATACGCTTTTACTTCCTCTCCGACCGAAAGTTTCTTGGTCGGGAGAAGACATGCTGTGAATACTATCCCAAAGCCCAGTAACGCAAATGCCAGCGATTCCAGAAACAATAGGTGTCGCTTCGAATCGGCAAATCCAGCCTTCATACTGTCCGCTCGGCTACATGTGGCGAAAGAGGTGCTGCTGTATATAGGGTCCTAGCCCTAGCACAACTCTTAAAACGCACACAAATGGCGTAAATCGATAGAGTTGTATTATTACTGTAATATTGACAAAGCAATGAAAGAGAGATAGAAAGGCAACTGCCTTCGATGAAACCAAACTATCTACTGGCCTAAAGCTCTAGGTTGAGAATGTCTTGGCCAGTAAGGAAAAGGGTGTACATGTGTAGTAATGACATAGTACAGTGACAGTGTGTATATGTCCTATATACAGATACGCCACGGTCTAAATGCCTGGAGAATTTTTTTTTTTTTTGGACAAGCCTTTAGCTTCTTGTACGGGCAAAATAACACATTTTGTGAAGAATCAACACATAAAACGAATCATCAGATACAGTATTTACAGAGTCTGTCACTCAGTAGGATCACTGCACTGTGCAGGTTCACTGGATCATGGATGCGTGCCTCCGCGGCCACTAGTAGCACAGCAGGGGACTCAGGCATGGCAGGAGCAAACATGCTCCTTGAGCCACGCAGGCACATAGCACCACAACGCACCAAGGCAAACCCAAGGCGGCAGCGCAGCAAGGAGATAATCTGCCCGTATGGGCCTAGGCCTCAGGGGCTAATGCTAGCATTAAAAGTAGCATTAAAGGCCTTTTTTGGAAACTAGCATTGCTGTAGCATTGCAAGCAGGTTTTATGGGGTAAAAAGCATTAAAAGGGGCCTGGGGGCTAAAAACCTTTCCAAGGCATACGCTGCAATGACCCATATGGTAATGTTTGCACCAATTATGGAGTCTGGGCCTCTTCTGGCACACAGCAACTAGCAAGTGCACAACAGGATTCAAGGGTACATATATGCCATACAGTAACAAAATGGGTACCCTTGGTCCGGCCACAGTCAAAATACCGTTACCGCTAGCGTTATCGTCTCAATGCTAAGGGTGCCTATTTGGAAGCGCCAAACCTACGCTACACACACCGTTTTCAAGGTTTTCATTGGGGAGATCTCTCTCTCTCTCTCTCTCTCTCTCTCTTTCTCTCTCTCTCTCTCTCTCTCTCTCTCTCTCTCTCTCTCTCTCTCTCTCTCTCTCTCTCTCTCTCTCTCTCTCTCTCTCTCTCTCTCTCTCTCTCTCTCTCTCTCTCTCTCTCTCTCTCTCTCTCTCTCTCTCTCTCTCTCTCTCTCTCTCTCTCTCTCTCTCTCTCTCTCTCTCTCTCTCTCTCTCTCTCTCTCTCTCTCTCTCTCTCTCTCTCTCTCTCTCTCTCTCTCTCTCTCTCTCTCTCTCTCTCTCTCTCTCTCTCTCTCTCTCTCTCTCTCTCTCTCTCTCTCTCTCTCTCTCTCTCTCTCTCTCTCTCTCTCTCTCTCTCTCTCTCTCTCTCTCTCTCTCTCTCTCTCTCTCTCTCTCTCTCTCTCTCTCTCTCTCTCTCTCTCTCTCTCTCTCTCTCTCTCTCTCTCTCTCTCTCTCTCTCTCTCTCTCTCTCTCTCTCTCGAGTTGATGACTTTGTTAGTTTAAGTTTGTACAGAAGACATGCGAAGTCTGCTGTTGCGCTTGTTATTTTCGTTTCGGAAGTCAAAACCTTGGTCATGAGTACTTGTGGGGAGGCAACTGAAATTGTCCTCTCTGACTCTGATCCTTCAGAGGAAGAAGATGACTACGAGACGGATTTAGATACTGGTGATGATGATGATGATGATGATGATGTGGCCAACACATTACCAAAGGCAAAGGAAGCAGTCATTGCTAGAGATCGTTCGTTCAACCGGTCATGTAAGCCAAAGAGTCAAAATAGAACAAGAGTCTGCGAAGGAAAATCGACACGTGCACCTCGTGTTAATCCCAATGAAAGAATAGTGGAATTTCCGAACGAACATCTTTGTATATCAGCCGGGAAGCTCTTCTGCGGCGTGTGTCGCACTGTCGTACAGACAAAGAAGAGTATTGTGAGGTCCCATGTGCTTTCTAAGCACCATCTCCTGTCGAAAGAACGACGAGTGAAATCCAAGAACCACCAAGCGACCATCACGAAATCCTGGAAGGTCTACCAGGAGAAGAAAGCAGACGAGCTCAAAGGTACTGGTCTCACGAAGGCTACAGGTGATACGACCGTACTCCGACGTGCCAATATCGTTGAGTCTTTCTTGAAGGCTGGTGTGGCACTTACGAAGATTGACCATCTTCGCCCACTGTTGGAGAATAACAATCTCAACCTCACGCACAGCTCACATATGGCTCAGCTAGTTCCCTTCCTGCTTGAGGTGGAGCTGGAGAAACTGAAAGAGGAAATCAAGCAAGCACAACATGTTGCAGTAATTTTCGACGGTACCACCCATCTTGGCGAGGCATTCGCCATCATCATTCGTTACGTGGACGCATCATGGTGCATCCAGCAACGCCTGGTGAGAATGCATGTGCTTGCCAAAAGCATGCGAGGAACGGAGATGGCCAGAGAACTTATTGCCTGCCTGAGCACATTCCTTCAGATACCTGCCAATAAGCCAGTTGCCTTCGTACGTGATGGAGCATCTGTTAACACGGTTGCAGTGCGGCATGTTGTAGACTTGCTGTACCCGAGTTCCATGGATGTAGTTTGCGCTTCCCACAGTTTGAACAACATTGGAGACCACTTTGATACCCCCACCCTGGATGAGTTCTGCCAATGGTGGGTCAGTCTCTTCTCTCGCAGTCATGCCACTAAACTTGCTTGGAAGACACGGACAGGTGTATCACCGAAGTCTCACAGTGCAACCAGGTGGTGGAGTTTGTGGGAAGTGCTGGAACAACTGCTCAAATACTTCGGGGATGTTCAGCCCTTCTTGGAGGAATGTGAATCAAGCCCGAATGCCTGTCGCCGCCTCCTTTCCATCCTGCAAAACGAAACGGCACCTGACAGCTGTGATATGCTTCGTATGGAGCTGGCTGCAACCGTTGATTTTGGGGAACCATTCGTCCGCAAAACCTACATCATTGAAGGCGACGGCATGTTGAATGTGGATGCATACACTCATTTGCAAGAGGTGGCTACTGCTGCCCAAGATGCAGTCTACCCCAATGTTGAAGCTCTTGTGAAGGACATTGCACCCGGCGATGTTGGCCGCCAGAACCAGTTGAAAGAGCATGCCAATGGTTGCGTGCGTCCGGCAATTAAACTTCCTCACAAAATTCAACCATGAGGATTCACCGCTGTTTGCCAATGTATTGGCATACAAGGCTGCCAGGCTGTGCTGCCCAATATTCGTTGCCAAGACGAATCCAGTTCCCGCTCTAGTGGATGGTCTGCGTGCCTTTCCGCCCCTGGATATAAAGATGGCACTATCCAACAGCTCAAGATGGAGCTTGCAGCCTACAAGGTTGCTGCTGCTGATACTCAACCTGGCCAAGACCGCCTTTCTTGGTGGAGAGACCAAGTTCAACTGCCGGTGTGGCAGAATGCTGCCCGGATCGTCATCACTGTGCCGCCATCATCTGCTGCTGCCGAGAGAGTTTTCTCGCTCCTTGAAGCAGCAACGAGCAGCCAGCAAGCCTCAACACTGACAGACCACCTGGAAGTGGAGCTCATGCTCCAGAACAACCGTGGTCGGCTCGGCCATGAGCTGTGAGTTCCCAAGCCGTAATGGGACACGAAGATAGTTGCCAGACATTGTCCACCGTGTATCGACTACTAGTATCGCATTTCTATCTTTAATTTACCATGGTGCCCTGTTTCATCTGATCGTGTCTACAATGAAATTAGACACAAGACCATCTGAAAAAGTATTTCTGTACACCATTGTCTTTCCTTTTTATTGGTGCTGAAACTAGCATTAATGCTGCAAACGAGCACTCAACCTAGCATTAGCAACCAAAATAACTAGCATTGCCAAAAGCATTTTTGCCCAAAAAAATTAGCATTAGCTGCTGAGGCTTACGTATGGCTCCTCTTCTCAGCCAGGAGAGAGGCGATCCGCGTGAAAAGAGCATGCCTGGCGAAATACTAGGATGCATGATGGGATATATACGTACAATCTGGAATCTGAACCAGAAGTAGCGTACACATTATAATTCCGGGAAATGGCCATAAAAATCAAAGTCACCGTTTATGGAAAACCCAGGAGTGAAAACGGAAAAGTTACAGGTATGGGAACTGCTAAAGTCACCACACTGCTATCACTGCTAGTACTACAGCCGCCATACGCGACAGACTACAGAATTAAGTTGAAGGATCCATAATATGGCGTTCTCGATCAAGTGCAATCGGAAAACCAAGATTCAGTATCAACTTGATCTAGCTAAAACATGGTCATTAGTTCGTTGAGAAGGAAGTCTTCACTAGACGTCGGCGGATAATGCTCGAAAATCCCACGGATTATGCTTTTCAGTATGCTGGTAATATGCTCTGAAAATCACTAAATCATGCTCAAATTATTTCTTGACACTGTGCTCTTTCATGTTTATAATGCCATTAAAATGTATAGAATGTGTACTCGGGATCAAATGTGGACTTCCGGAGAAAACTGCATGGAAGATCTAGTCTCAGCTATGGATAAGAAACCAGGATACAGCTTCTTCTATTATAAAGGTTTTGTCCGACACGCCCTGGAACATGCCACCTCGGCCTGGTCCTATGCCATCACCAAAGCTGAGCTGGCGCGTTTAAATATTTTACAAGCCAGAGTAGCTAGGAAGTATTTGCTACGTAAAAAGGTCAATGTAGATAGATGCGAAACGAAATCCCAGTTAAACGCCCTTTGTGACTTAGAGTCCTTGCACTTTCACAGACAAGATCAGCTCTTGTTACTCTATTTAACCCTTTGGAGTCCGTAACTTTTTTGCTTCCGCAGAATTTGTGGCAGTC